CGCCCGCCCTCACCTACCCGGAGCTCCGGCATCTGGATGATGAGGCTCATGGGCACGTGGACGATGGGGCTCTTCCTGTAGTCCATGGGGACGAGGTTGGGAGCCAGCTCGTAGAACCGTGCGTGCAGCCTGCGAAGGGACAGGGGGAACGTGCGTGGGGCGGCGACCCCAGCCTCCAGCAGCCCGCGCCCGCCAGCGGCTAAGAGCCCCACGGGCAGCACCCAGAACGGACTGGCCGCACCGACACACGAGTGCGAAATCTCGTGACACAACACACCGGGACATCAAGGCCAGGGGCACTTGACAGAGTCTGCCCTCGGGACGAAGCGGGATTTATTCCCGCGATGCGAGGGTGGATCAGTGTGGGGAAGTCTGTGACTGCAGAATGTCTCAAGAGGTCAACTTTTCTGATCGACTCTCTAGCTGCAGTTATGACTAGTTGGCTTCACGGACACAGAAAAACCTGTGGAAAGTCATACGCCAAGTATATGCCACACGTTTACAGTGATGGTCCCTGTGAGGCAAGAGTGGACAGGGGTAACTAGAGGTCAACTTCGACTTATTATTACTTCGCCTATTTCCAAGTTGTCTAAAATATTTATCGATAAAAACAAAAAGTATTACTTTTGTCAATAAAAAACAAACTTTACTAAAGCAGAAGCTAAGGACACTCTCTACCGTGAATCAATTCCCCAAATCGTACGTACGTTAAAATACTGGAGACGCCCTCATAAAAGCGAGATGCCTACTATTACCATTACGGGTGAAAGTCGACGTCGTGAGTCAAGAAAATAAACGGTATAGTTAACTATTGGCAAGGAGGAGGCAAATTATTATTTGCTAGAAAAACAAAAGTAATCCATTTGAAAAGTATTTGAATGAGAAAAAGCCCAGCAGCTGTTTTATACTAGTTTTTCTACACGTCGGCATCAGCCTATTCAAAAATATGACATAAAAAGAGATCGAGTCTACGGTCACGCCACCCTGAACACACCCGATCCCGTCTGATCTCGGAAGCCAAGCAGGGTCGGGCCCGGTTAGTACTTCGATGGCAGACAACCTAGGAAGACCAGGCGCTGGAGGAGTTTTAAAAAAAAAGATCTAATTCACAATACATAAAAAAAAAAAAAATCCTAAAATAAACGAAAAAAAAAAACTAAGCATGAAATTAATGTGAAACGTGTAAAGGAAAACCATGACACTGTACCAAAAGGTAGAAAATATTCAGGGAGTTAGGTGACTCACTCTACTCCGGATGGAAAAGGCTGAATCCTGTGACAGTGACGACCCTCACTTCATTTCTCTGTGGAATGAATATGATCCTAATCTAACTCTGCCAAGGATTTATGTGAGAAGCTGCCAACACGACTCAAAAGTTTGTTTGGAAGAATAAATGCAGGAGACTGCGGGACAAACCTCGAAAAAAGGGCATCTGGGGAAACGTTGGTCTGTCAGATGTTAAAACACAGTTTAGATCTATGATGAGTAAAACCGTACGGAGCAGACGCTGGCATAGACAAGGCGGCCCCCGACGGGAATGGGCGTGGGTCCGCGACTAACAGCGTCTGGAAGTGGCGGAGGGGTCAGTGGTCCACATTCATGCCCACCTTTCGTGTAGAGATAATTAAAGTCATAATTTAAAACGCAGTTGCCAACACTTATGAATGAAAAGATTTTACACACGAAACCTGACCCCAGCCAACAACCTGACCCCCAAGGCAAAAACCAACTGGGGGTCAGGACCAGGTGTCCCTGCAGACCCCAGTCCTAACTCCCCTCCCCGCTGTACTGCATGGCTCGTTTGTCTGCAGTGCACCTTGGCCCCTACAGATAGCTGAGTTTGAGACCCTTGGGACATTTAGTAAATGGTTTGGGGACAGAAGACGGGAGCTCATACACGGCTCCCGTAGGTTGGTTCGATACCAATAAAAATCGAAAGCCTTAAAAACATCTATACCTTCCGATCCAGAAGTCTGTGTTGGAAATTTATCCCAAGAAATAATCCCAGAGGTGTGGGTTGTGTGTCACGGTGTCACAGGATATTCACCACTAGGCTAGCATGATGGTGAAACGCGGAAAACCGAAATGTCATGTCAAACTAAATGAATTAGGGGCGTGGTGAGACCGTTTGCTTATCTATACAATCTGCCTAAAGAAAAGAAATTTTAAGAGAGTTAAAAAACAACGAGACCCCAATGTTTTGTAAATGCACACAAACGGGAAGAAACAGTGGCATGATGTATACCGAAATTAGGTTAAATACACCGAAAGGTTAATCGTCGTTATTTCCGGGGAAGAGGAGTAGAGGTCATTTCTCTGTCCTCTCTCGACTGGCTTTATTTTCCTAAATTTTCTACAGTCATCACGTATCCCACGTGGAATAAAAAATTAAGAGTAACTAGAATAGATGATACAAAGTGTTTAAAAGGCAGAGGAAGTTAGAGAGGACAAAGTAACAAAGAAGCAAACGCCAGGCCGCTTGCTGGGTGGGCCTTTCTGGACCCGGCCCACGCGGCAGAGGAGCACAGCCCAACCCTAACCGGGGCCGCAGGGGGTGGAGTAAGGGCGCTGAGCTCTTACCGACACGAAAGAAGTGGGGGGCTGCTCGCTCAGGGTCAGCCGTGGGGGTGCAAGTGCTGGGCCCGAGGGAGCAACTGGACCCACCTAGCGGGCAGAGGGGGCAGAGGGAAGCAGTCCCTGGCGGTTATCTGGGACTCTGAGACTTGGGATCACTGGGCTGGGCCCCAAGCTGCCAAAGAACCTACTGCTCGGCTTTCCTGACAACACCCAGCGGTGCTCAGGGTGCAGCTCATCCAGGGACCCACCTGGGCGGGGCCAGCAGGACTCAGGGGCCCCTCCGTCAAGTCCCAGAGCCTGCTGTCCTGGCCCCTTGGCAGTGACCCGGGGGTGGATGTCACGATCCCCACCCATCCATTTTATACAAGAACCAGAGGCCGGGGAGGCTCTGAGCTTGGCCAAGGGCCCGGGGATGCCGATGCCCAGGCCGAGGGGCTCTGCCCCTCACCCTGCCCCTCCAGGTGGTGGAAGTGGGGTGTCCCTGCCCACCCAGGTGACAGGGAGGAAGAGCAGCCCGGGCAGAGACGGAGGCCGAGGGACACTGCCTGCCCCGGCACAGTGCTCAGGGCAGTGACCGCCCAGCCCTCGTGGGAAGCTGCGACAGGCTCTCGCCCCAGCCCGCCCAGCGGCCTCCGGGGAAAGTGATCCCGAGACCTGCGGCTCTCGGAGCCACCTGATAGCCTGAGCAGCCCCCAGGTTTCCTACTCACCATCTGGCCCTGGGCGCTCAGGCTGCCAACCCCTCCCCTTCCCATCAAGGCCCCCCCCCATACGGGAGTTGTCTTGGGAAGGGTGAGGGCCTGGTGGACGGCCCCAGGCAGTCAGGCGCTGCACGCCACGCCCCTGTCTTTCGGACCTCCCAGAAGCAGGGGGACATCCGAACTGGAACCGGAAGGCGCTGAGGGACCCCCGGTCCAACCATCAGGGACCCCTCCTCTGACAGGTCCCAGGGTGCACAGAACTAGCAAGGGGGCTGGAGTCAGGGGCCAGGGCTTCAGTCCCTGGCTGTGGCACTGGCCCGACTAAGTCCCATCAGTAAAGTGGGGGTGAAATTAGATTCTCCCGTCAGAAGGGGACACTGAGGGTTAAATGGAAATGTGCTCGAGACCACCCAGCACAGCCAGGCCCCTGGCAGAGGGATGTGGGCCTGGGGGGTGTGGGGTGGTTCTGAGTGCACGCAGCAGCCTGCACGTGGCTCCTGACACAGAGAGTGCTCCTCCCCAGCCACCACGAGGGGGCCCCGGCCCCCAGCCTCCGCCCACCCCGCCCTGCCCGCTCCAAGGGATGAACGGAAGCCGCACCTACTTGAGGATGTCTTTCTTATTGAAGAACGTACAGTCCTGCGGAGGAAAACGCACAGTCAGTGGTGGTGTGGGCCGGCTCCTCCTTCCACAGACCCGCGTGGGGGGCGGCGTGTGCGGGGAGCAGCCCTGGACGGTGCTGGGGGCGGAGGAGTCACGACCACCCTCCCTGCCCCACGCCCCTGGGGACGGCTGTCCAGTGGGTCGAGGAATCATCTCCTAAAACTTTAGGCCTGGCCCAGGGGGCTGAGTGCAGACGTGGGAGCTGGGAGGGGGCAGAGCTGGCTGCTTCTGATCTGAGGGGCCAGTGGGGTGTCCCGTGGGGTCACCAGGGCTGTGGCTGGGAAACAACTCAGGAGTGAGGAAGAATACTTCATCCCCTGAGAAGAGAGCCTCATGGAGCCGTGTCAGTGAGTCTGAGTGGCCGCGGGCAGCAGCCTCGTGCTCAGAGACCGAGCTCCGGGCACACAGGATGGGGAAGATCAGCATCTACCCAGTGTCTGAAGCCACAGGAATGAACGAGTCACACTGGGAAGGCAGTGGAGAGACTGTGGGGAGGGACTGGTGCCATCTGGACAGGGGCAAGGGCGTCAGCCGTTTTCAAAGCCACTCTGGTCCTTGCTAGGTGCAGCCCAAGCTGCAAACCACACCCACTGCCCACGATGGCCACAGGCCTGGTCCAGGGGCTCTGCATATCCAATGTCGTTTAATCGTCCTCGCTAGCCTATGGGGACAGGCACTGTCTCCTCAGCGTATAGATGGGGAAACTGAGCAGCAAACTGAAACTCTTTGTCCATGAAAAAAGCTGCGATGCGAATTGTGTCTGTTGGAAGAGAGAGAGGGGAAGGAGGGGAGGGGCCGAAGGGAGGGGCGGAGTGAGCAAACTCAGGGACTGTGGCAGGTGTGGCCGACGGGAGGGGCCGGCAAGGGAGTATCAGACCACCAGTCGGCAGGAGACAGGTCTGGCCAGGGCCCTGGCTGTGGAGACAGAGGAGGGGTCCCTGGGGGAGGCCGAGTTACAGGACTTGTCCTTCAGTGGATGCGTGGCCACTGGACAGCAGCTGAGGGGTCTGGGAAACCTGAACCTTCGGAATCACTGGCCCCTGCGGCGGGGAGGGGGACACGAAATGCTGCCGTCACTCGGGTAACTTGGGGTTATCCGCAGACGCCCCGGCGGCCCAGCGGGCTGGACGGAGGGAGGGAGAGGTGAGGCTCTCGGGTTTCACGGTTCTCATTTCTCTTACCCGGCAGGGCCGGCGGGGGCCAGCTGGGCTCTGGCCAAGGCTCAGAGCCCATCACAGGCTCCGAAGGGGAACCCAAGGCCGGCTGGTCTAAGTGGGCACCAGGCTCCTCGCCCCCTCACAGCTACTCCTCACTCAGCAAGGTCTGCCTGCTCCCTGCGCCCACCTGCGAGCCTCGCCCACGCTGTGCCCCACGTGGAACGCCGCCTGCCGGCCCATCTGGGCCTGCGTTGTTCCTGAACCTTCTCGGCAAAGCAAGAGCCCCTTCCCTCCTGGTCTCCCACTCCTTCCGCCAGCACACCGTTCACTCGCTGCCTGCCCCTCACGAGACCACACTGGGGGCGAGAAGCACACGCAGCACCCCCAGACATAAAGACTGAGCCTCAGATTCGTGATTCAAATGCTCGGGTGAGCCTGACAGGGCAGGGTCCTGAACGGCCTCTGTTTACCCTTCTGTAAAATGGCGCCAACGATCTAGCTCACGGTGATGTCTCAGGAGTCGACGGTCAGGACATGAGTCACAGCACCCAGCACGCTTGCTAGATGTGGCTCCACACTCCTTGGGGCCTCCCGTGGGGCTGAGGACTCTGTAGTTGACGACCAGGGCTTCCAAGAGGAGCGGGGCCTTCCTTTCCCCTCTGCCCACATCACAGGCCCCACGCTTCGAGCCCGACACCCCAACGACACGCATGCGACTATGGAGACCCTATTGGTGTCATCCCTCCCACAGCACACTCCACACAGGTGACAACAGCCTGGCCCTCTGCCTGGGGGAGCGGGAAGGAGGCATTGGAGTGGGGCCTGGAAGGATGTGGCCATCTGGAGGGGAGACATCCCACGGCAGAGACGAAGCGGGGGTTCTGGCCTGTGGGAGGACTGCGCACCATGGTGGGTGGCGGGCAGGCTGGCCAGGCTCGGGGGACAAGCCCTGGCTGGGCTTCATCTGCAACCTCGGGAGTTGCGCAGGGGCGGGAGGGCATTGGGGTCTCATCTGGGCAGCTTGCTGGCTCCTGAGGAAGAGGACCTAGAAGGGTCTGAGGGGTGGCTGCTGGGGACCCGAGGGAGCTGGGAGAGGTGACCGTGAAGACTAGTGCCTGGCTGGCCTCTTTGCTCCGAGTACTTCCAGGCTGGAGCCAGAGGGAGAGACCCCAACGGATAAACAAGAGGCTCCCAACTTAAAACCGCGTTGCGGGGCTCACTCCCAAGCCAGGCGGGACCCCAGCTCCGTTCTCCTTTACAGAAGGGGGCTCTCCTGGGCCGCTTCCCGGGATGTGGGGGTCTCCCCTGCAGCGAAGACTCTGAGGAGTCGCGGCCCAAGGTCACGCTCGGAGTGAAGGCAGAGGCCGGTGTGACCCCGGGAGCCGGCTTTCGGGGGGTAGGGGGAGAGGCAGCGGCCGAAAGCCGAGGGGAGGGGCGCGGGCTCACCTGGTAGTTGTCCAGCTGCTCCTCGGTGAAGATGGTCTGCTTGTTCCCCATGGTGCGCGCGGCCGCCCCGCCCCGCGCGCATCCCGCGGCACCTCCCACGGTGG